TAGTGACGTGATGGTGTTCGCAAATGTCTCCCAGGCTAGTTCTGGGGTGCAGTTAGCTAGAAACGTCCAACTGGTATTCTCAACTAGAGCAGACAGAACGTGGTAATGGGTAACAGATTGCCTCGTTTCGAGCTCCGCAGCTGGATATTCGGCGTAGCAGATGTAATCGAACTGCAAAGTCACGTGATCGCTACGGCCCAAAGGACTGCACACCTTTAGTCCATCGACCATGAGCTCTTCGTTAGTATGCACTAGATCTAATATCGATGGGTTGTTTCCTGTTCTGAACCTGGTTGGAACGGTGACGTGGTTATACAAGAAGGTGCTAGAGAGTAGCTCTTGCAAATATGCCTTGAACACTTCTGTCTCGGATGCTGGATTTTCCAAGTCATGGGTGTTGAAATCTCCTGCAACGAGGATGTGGCTGTATTTCTGATTAAGCACGGAGCGAAAAGCGGTGATAAGTCTGTTGTCCCTTTCCGGAGTGGATTTCGGTGGTCGGTAAACCACAGAGAGAAGGCATACGTCGTTGCTTTCCAACCACAGTTTGCACCAAAGGACGTCGGTGACACAAGTCTGGGGATCGTCTATGAGCTCACAACGAAGGTTCGTTCGGAAATAAATGAGCACGCCACCGCCCTTGCCCGTTCTGTCGTTCCGGAGAAGTAACATACCCGGTATGGCAATCTCAGCGTCTGTGATTTCGCCGCTCAGCCAGGTTTCGGTGATCATTATGATGTCTCGAGGCTCCGAAGCCAAATGGTGACGGAGTTCTACCAACTTACTTATGAGGCTTTGTGCATTAGTATACATGCAGGATAGTGCTCTTGTAACCAAGAGTGAGCTAGTCAGTCACTTGGGCAAATTACGATCGTCCTTTGTTACCGGCGCTCAACGCATAAAACGTGTTGGGACAGAAGCACGATGTCGGATGACAATGCCCTACAGGACTGCATATTACAATGCAATCACACAGCGTGTGATCCAAAATGGACCTCCAACTGGGCATCAACCGTCGTGCCAAGCGTTGCTCGTCGTGACCCGGTAGCCAACGGGGTAGAGGTTTCGGCTGTTATTCCAATGGTTGCGGGTTCGAGGCCTACTGTCGCCACTTGATGAGATAAAATGGTATGGAAATGCGTCGTGGTTGTGCAGTGTTTTCGGGCGGGCCACACCTAAAGCCTACGAAGGTCAACTCTCGATCTTTCTGGTGTAGTCAGTGGGCGCTTCGCTATCGACCAGACAGTACCTACAGTTAGTGCAAAGTCGAGCTTTGATGCGCACGGTGAGTGTTAGGACGATGGCTGTTCCACGAGCTACACTTTTCAAACAGAGTGTTGGATTCTTGTGGTGAAGGAATCGCTGGATAGCGCTGAGAGCATTCTGTCGAATGACAGCAACAATGACGGTGTGCGTTCAAAAATGAGATTGACGCGCCCCCTGGGTTTTTGTAAAAATCGCGCTGAAATTACACTAACGGATGTAACGATGGTGGGTGCTAGACAATCCTGTAGTGATTGACCCACTGGATAGAGCTGATAAATCCGAGTTGTATAAGTGAAAGAACAGTAATGTGCGTCGAGAGTTGTAGGTAATACATTCAAAAAGAGAGGAGCGTCTAGTCAGCGCGAGAACATGGTAGGATCGATCCGATTAGTTTTCACCAACGATCTTTGACCTTTATTCTGGACTTTGAGATACTAACTTGTACCCTTCATCGGAGCAGGCGTTTGTTAACGCGAGCAAGAAAATATTTATGATTTATTTATTTCCCACGCACAAATGTTAAAAGACCTTTAGAATATTGTTGAGTCTTCGTCCGGCTCGACACTCTACCGTCAACAGAATGCGGATTCAGGACGAAGTATTCGAGTGACACATATGCCCACAATGCCATTTATTTCACCTATACAATTTAGCATTTTTACTAGTTCTGTTTTAGAACCTCCGCAGTGACTATTGTAAAACGCAGTATACTAACCCACTGGAGTACATAAGCCTCATACGTCTTTAACTTGACTTTTCGATATGGAAGCGAACTAAATAAGTGTGTTGAAGATGTGGTTCCGGGATTCAGTTGGCGATTAACAGGTATCGGTCGTGAGACGCCAGTTATTTCGTACATTCTCATCAATCAAAATCTCGTAACCGATTGTACTTATAGCAAGAACAAGGTTATGATAGATCGATTGGTGGCCAAACAGTGATCAATTGATGCGCATCACACCGACGTAGTTACTGTCAGCTTCACATAGAGTAACGGCCTGACATCAATCAAAACAAATACCTTCCAGTAGGCTCAAGATGTATAGTTTTCGTTCCGCGCTGGGACAACAAACAACTCATCTGGTTTAATTTTTGACCAGTGCATGATAATGCAATGCAATTGCCGAGGCATGTCAGTTTCCTTGACCCATCCAGTTAAGCGGAAAGGTAGCAAGGGGGCGAATTGCGGTCCGACCCGGGCGGCATTTGACAGGTAGCGGCATTCTTAGCTCAAACGGTTGTTTATTCGTGCATTTGTTGGGATGCCTCGTTCTGTAAGGAATGAACCATTTGTCTATTTACTTAAGTTTAAACAGCAAAGTCTCCAGTCAAGCCGACAGTTGAATGTTGCAATATTTCTCTGGAAATCCAAAGACTTAGTTGAGGTATCTGTTCTAATTCCCTGTCCTCTTTTGCTTCTCGCAGTTGCACATATCTGACTTGTTCAAGATCGCCCCCATTGCAGTAACTCGTGAAGGTAATGTGTTATTGCCCATAAGTCATTATACAGCCGCCAAGCCATTGTTCTTTGGCCTAATACTAGCGTCTGTGTGAGCGCGCTCTGCTGACTCTGGTCCTTGTGATTTTTCTGTATGGTCACAAGTACGGTTTACTTTGAGTAGAAGGATTTTGGCAAGTATTTTTGTTCGTCGCAGTCGGCCGACAATCCAGATAAGTCAACTACCTATACGGAAAAGCACCAGACGGCCATTTGCCCTATTGGGGCTCGTCAGTGGTGCGCATCCTTCGGTCCTCTACGGAGGATCGAACCCATGACTGCCAGTGGCTTGTGCCAACTAGCCCGCAGCTTATGCAACTGAGCCATGGAGGACGGCAGCCGACCATCACGAATTGTTAGCTAACTGCGATATAGCCCGACCCATCCTCCACTGCCATGCAGGCACCTGCCATGCAGATGACAACGGTTGGCCTTCCGGCGTCAGGACTTCCCGATTACGGCAGCTACGAATCGACATAGCACTTATGGAGTCCGTAAGGGCGAATTTGTATTACGTTGAGTGGAAGGATTTTGGCGAGTATTTTTATTATTCGCGCACCACTGACGAGTCCCAATAGGGCGAAACGGCCTTCTGGTGCTTTTCCGGATAGGTAGTTGACTTACCTGAATTGTCGGTTGACTGCGACGAACAAAAATGCAGGTATGGTTATTTGTACTCTAATTGGGTGCTCCATGTGGACTTGTTTGTTTCCGTACCGAGCGGTTATTGGTGAGGTTTGTCCCGATTAAATGTGATATTCTTTTTTATATGACCGTAGTTCACCTTCGAACTTGCCTTGCTTTGACCCGGGAGTTCTAGGTGTTTGGTCAAATGTTCCAAGCAATTATGTCGCTTTCACCCGTTTTATTCTTGTTTCTATCCGTTATTATTACAAAAATAGATCGGGTGCCATACTCTCTGAGACATTCGTTCAGCTCAATGGTCTCTTTGATGGGATTCCCTATTACATGAAAAGGTTGCCGTTCTCTGTGAATACATTGTTACTTATAAATAACTACCTTCGATCAGTAATGGACTAGACAAAGCTGACGGACTTGGCAGTTCTCTCCATAGAAAGAAAACTTGCCGATGAATTAAACTTTAATAGTTGTATTGATAATTTTGCCGTAAATAAAGTAGAAAAAGTGTTTTTAACTTTTGTACACGAGCTGTGTAACCATGCAAATGCCTGCACTTACAGTAGCCCTCTAAAATTAGATTCGTTGTTCAATGAACCGAAATATTGAAGGATTGTTCGTAATTGTGGGGTTTACGGATTTACAACTGCCCAAGGCGACGAAAGCAGTTGCTACGCCACTACAGTTAAGTCAGCGCAGATTTCATCCATTTGCTTAACCGTTTTATGATATAATCACAATTCTGACACCAATGCCGGAACTTATCCAAGATACTCGGAATTACTCCAGTATTCACAAGGATTTCAACAATATTTCAAAGCCTAAACTCATCGGGAACCTATGATGGCAATACCTCAAGTTCCATAGACAAATCGTTTACTTAGATTGCGTACAGCTGTAACCTTAATATCGAACCTCGTGGGAGGCCACTATGCGCAGCTTGACTTAACGATAGGCTACGTTCCGCGCATAATGTTCTGTCTTCTCCAAAGTATCAACACAAACCTAAGTTCGCAACCAGATATCCAGTAAGAACTTAACTTGGTGAGTGCCATACCTAAGAAGCCGTATCAAAGACCCTTGTAAAACCAACCAAAATCACGTCGATAGTTTGGTCGTTGTAAATCACAGTCCAGCCTTTACGAGCTACAGGTGAAGTAAACAGATAGGAAAACAACCTTGCAGCATTTGCGTTGCCCTGTTCATCTTATTCGCCGCCGAAATCCGCGCCAATTTCAGCTTACTTGATTACCGCTTGTCAGACTGACAAGCCTCTCTTTGGCGGGCAGATTGTCACTGGCCTTTACAAGCTGACAGGTGACAGCTTGTCTTTATTCCTAAACGACATTTTAACTGCACGTGTGCGAGAAGACCACTTAGTTCAGCAACTAGTTATTGAAGCAGCTTCATTGAGTCGAATCAAGTTCACATTGTATTGCTAAAACCTGTTTCGCATACAGTAGAGATGCATCATGATCATATTAATTGGTATACTGTTCGCTAGGCGTGCAAGACTTATCATAGTCTGGTCCCGTCTGTTCATAGTGAAATTAATATAGCCAATCATTTGTAAAACCTTTCTTTGAACACTTGACAGGAAAGCAAGCCATCTGCCACACACACCCGGGGTCTTGTGAAGCGTATCCGGCAAACTACCCGGAAGCACTCTCCGCAGGTGGAGGATTGTGTCGCAATGTCCTACGTAGCAGCTGGGAGTTTCGTATCAATTCCTCACAGGTAATCCACTTCATTTATTTGCAGCTAGTAGATATCTGGAAAAATTGGGCGCTTATTCAATCACTAGACGAATATTTTTGCGCGTTAGCAAATGTGATATCCTGATGTGCGCTAGGAAATTAGCGTCGTGTTGTTTAAATGAAGTAGGTGTCAATGCACGCTGACCTACGATTGAGCGCGACTGATGACTTCTCTTGTTCTCCACCTCATGGGGCTTCAATGCGAAATCTTAGGGTGGCACCGGTTACAGCTATATGATTCTCAATCCCCTGAAAAAGTTCGGAATCCGCACAGCGTGGGAATGAGGCACAAGGACAGTAAAACGGTGTGGTCGTTCAGTTCAGCTTACAGTGAACCGCTGACGAATCACTAGGCCCATTTGTGCCACAAAAGAGTGTGCTTCACTTGATGAGAGTGCTTTGTGACACAAGCAATGTCCTTTAAATTTATTTTCGATACTTGGAGCCCTATGAACAGGCGTTCGACGTAAGAGAAATGGTTATTTGATCGCCCTTTTTTGTACTTTTGTTGCAAGGCTTTATAATGTAAACATCTGTACAATTAGCAGTCCATGGCTTTCCCATCCATTTTGGAGTCATTCGGTGGATATCACGGATGCCCTTAAGGGTTACCGATAATCTGATGTGCGAATCACGCACCAGATTTCCTGATCATCCGCACACAAGCCACACAACTAACGAAATAGATGAGGTAGATTGTTGATGTGGGTTAAGTAAAGAGTGGGCCCAGTACTGCACCTTAAGGCACACCGCTAGTAGAGGAGTACCAATTAGTCAGGTGGCTGTGGACCTGAGCCCTCTTCCTTCGTTTAACGACAAAGCCCTGGATCCACAGATGTAGTGATCCACCAACACCGCACTTCCATGTTTTGTGGAGAAGGACCTCATGCTTTAGCATGTCGAAGGTTGATTGCGTCGACAGACTTCCCCGATTCACTGCCTTCAATCCTTCATGCTTCCTCACCAGCAGGTTGATAACACATGATAGCATATCATAAAACAGTACTGTGGGGGTCAGTAGACTTTGCGATTGTAGCAGCTGTAGTGGACCTTTCTTCACAATCTTCTCGTTAACCCTGACCAAAACAATTGTCGAACAAATCGGTCTGTAGTTGTCCACTTTGCTAGGATTTCCGACTTTTGGAATCGGATTAACAACTGAGCATTTCCATTCGCCCTGCAATGGACCTTCGAACAGTGACGTGTTGAGCAAGTCAGTCACAGCAGGTGGGATGTAGGCCGATGGGGATTGGAGAATCAGTGGTTGGAGTTCATTAGGTCCAGCAGCTTTGGCGCCTTCAAGGTTGGTGAATACTAGACGCAACTACAACCCTGCAATCCAGACTGTCTAGTTCCGTAGGCGAGGTACACGTCACACTCGGCACAGACACATCATTTGCAAATACAGGAGCGAATTGCGCCCCTAACACAGACGCAGGCTTAGTGCTGGAGGTTAGGAACTGTCCATCCGAGCCCTCTAGCAATGGTAGACCACGTGCTGGTTTGAGGCGCAGCTTCACGTAAGCAAGGATTCTCTTAGGGGCAGTCCATTCGGTGGTTACTAGCTGATCTTCGAAGTGCTGGAGCTTGCTCGTCTTTACAATATTACAGATATTTCGCTGCTTCTTATACACCTCGCAGTCATTTGCAGAGCCGGAGCGGAGGAATTAGTCTCACTGAGTACTGTACAAAAATCACCTTGAAATGCCTATTCATGTGTCCGGTACAAGCTAAATTTCAACATCGTAGGATTCGTCATTTCATCACGTTAGCTAAAGGTTAAAAACACCTCAGCTGTTGTGTCGTAATACAAAGGACGAAATACGCAAACTAAGTGATATGTTAATCATTAAAGAACACAAAAACCCAAAAACAAGTTATGCAATATTATGCATCGTGAATGAGATTGTGGTTAAAGGGGAGACCTGAAGGGGCAGGGGAGGGACAAAGAGGCTCACAACCCAAACGCCGTTGAGGTCGGTCCTTCACAATGTCAACTAGTGCATCCAACCTAAGGTGTTTACCGTCCTTGGGACAGCTTGGCAGTCCGGAGGCTCCAACCGACACCATGTTCGAGGGAGGGTCCTCATTCCGTTTGACCAAGTTATCGCTTGGCTTCCCCTCCTCCTCCTCTTCCATCCAGATCCCGGTCATGCAAACAACGCACGACGCGGGACTCGGTGTGTTAGCATACGCAACACGTGACTCAACCATCGGAGTCTGCTGCGTGGTATAACGGGACTGAGCGACTCATTCGCTCTCCCCAAACCAAATACGAGACCTTGAACACACACATTGGTCACGTGGTGTTCCACCGGACATGAGACAAACTGCGAAGGAAGCGATGAGCAAATGTAACCAGCCTCTTTATTTCTGTCGTTCTGGTAGGCCATATTTCACAAGCCTATTGGAGGATTGGTGGCACTGATGCGTTGTAAACTGTGCCCTTCAGAGCGAAAGGGTTGTTGTGATGGACGTATGCGGTCAGCTGAGGACCTCAACATTACCAGAGGCGTTGAATTGAGAAAGTGGGATATCAATTACACTCAGCAGGAAGTATATTCATTAATCGATTTAGTAGATATTCCTACTTCAGTGTTGTACAGTTTGTTTCTTACAAACAACCAGAACTCCAATCAGCTGATTCCGATTCAAGCTTCTGATTGATATTGCATAATGTTTAGCTAACCAGTTGGACAGAAGTATGGTCTCCTCTACGTTCCTTTATCCACTTTTACCAAGGCTTTCACAAGCTTATTCGTGTCCTAATTTTATTCATAATCGTAGATGCCTGAAGTGGTTTATCGAAAAGAATTGTTAATTTCTATCTGACTACATATAAGCCAGCTTTTTACCCCTGCTTTCCTTCCAGATGGAGTATATTCCTATGGAAAACATTAAAATGGAGTCCGTAGCATTGAAGTGAGCCAAACGATCAACTTTAGTGCTTTGCTGTAAAATCTTTATGCGTTGAGTGAACGTTTTGTCGTCTCTTTTGATCTTCTCCGTCTGGCTTTGTGCGAAAGACAACTCGATTTATAATGCGAACAAGTGCCTGGCACTAAGTGAGGAAGGTTGCATCTCAGTAGTCCGAACATTTCCACTGCTTGTGGTTACTAAACGAGGCAGTGTAAGGTTCGGCATAGCATAGCAAATAGCTGCCATGTAATCCCTACTCCTGACACCCAATGTCTGCTGTTGTCTAGCGGAACATGGTACCACTTCGATCAGTTGAGCTTCTACCGCAATGGAGAAAAGGTGTACCGTTTGCGATTCCTCGATGAATGGAATGTATGCCCAGCGCGTTCAAAGGATAATTGCAGCTGACCAGGCTTTGCATTTTGAGTACTAATGAAAACACCCCAAATCGTTTTCCATCTTCTTAATTTAGTTCGCTGATTTTCACAAGAATCTATTGCTCAGAAAACGATCTCGTTCTCTGCGCTTCACTGCAAATTGAGCTGTCTTACAACTCAACATGGCACCTGGTTATGTCAGCTCCTACCGTGTACCGGGGCTCTTGGAACACCATCGGTCTTCGCCTAAAAGCAGTGTTCTGGCTTCTACTACCCAGTGTTCCCCATGAACTACGCGTCACTGACAAGCTCAAGGACAAAACGGTCATTACGTACGAGGGTCATTCAATAAATAAGGTGAATTGTTCGGTATAAGGACTTCTAATACAGATAGAAGCTTACTTTTTGTTCACTTTTTGTTGTTTTACTTCTTTTTCACATGGATGTAATTTCTTTTGCAGATGAAAAAAATCTTTGAGAGTTGTACCGTTTAACAAAGATGGCCGACCAAATAGCATGCTCCAGGATTGAACAGCGGTCAGATATCAATTTTTATTTGCTGAAGAGTGCAAACCAGTTGAAATTCATAGGAGAACATCAACTGTGTATGATGCCACATGTTTCAGCCGAAAAAATGTATACAAGTGGGCAAAATTGTTTAAAGAAGGACGGAGCAGTGTTGAGGGTGAAGACAGGCCTGGGAGGCCTACAGAAGTGAGGTCTCCTGAGGTGATCCAAGCAGTCAATGACCTCATTCTGTGGGACAGAAGGGTGACAGTGGATGACATTGCAAGGACTTTGGGCTTATCTGTTGGGGCCGCACACAAAATTGCCCATGTCATCCACTGTCACCCTTCTGTCCCACAGAATGAGGTCATTGACTGCTTGGATCACCTCAGGAGACCTCACTTCTGTAGGCCTCCCAGGCCTGTCTTCACCCTCAACACTGCTCCGTCCTTCTTTAAACAATTTTGCCCACTTGTATACATTTTTTCGGCTGAAACATGTGGCATCATACACAGTTGATGTTCTCCTATGAATTTCAACTGGTTTGCACTCTTCAGCAAATAAAAATTGATATCTGACCGCTGTTCAATCCTGGAGCATGCTATTTGGTCGGCCATCTTTGTTAAACGGTACAACTCTCAAAGATTTTTTTCATCTGCAAAAGAAATTACATCCATGTGAAAAAGAAGTAAAACAACAAAAAGTGAACAAAAAGTAAGCTTCTATCTGTATTAGAAGTCCTTATACCGAACAATTCACCTTATTTATTGAATGACCCTCGTACTTCTTCGACTGTGATGTTCGATTACGTATTGTCGTATTGTAGCTCCCTACAGTCGAATGTGCCTCTTTCACGTCAAGCTGTGGTAATACCGGTCTTTCGTTCGAAGCTCTTCCTGTGTGTGGACGCCCGGCAGATTTCTCTGTATTTCGGAGGCTCCATAACACACTGACAATTTAAAAGTACACTGTGTGAAGCTGGATGTTGTGTCTAAATTTATAAACACCTATAGCCCATGTAGATGCACATGGAAAGCGCTTCCCACGCAACAGGTTAAGGAAACTACCTGGTTGAAGTCATTTGTGAAGCGTTGTGAGGCGGTAATCGGTTGACGGCCTCTGACATCAAATATTATTCTGGGTCTTTAAGGAATCAAGCCAGCACTCCGAGGAATAATTCAGTTTTGCGCGAAATACCTGCATCTAACGTGCGTCAGTAATTCACAGTAGTATGGCAGATCATCCTTCACTACAGTGACTAACCGAATAAAATATACTGGCGGAATAAGACCTTTTCAACGTTGGTCACCGATATGGCTGTTGGGCGCTAAGACATTTGAGAGCGATCGTCGTCCAACTGGACACGGTGGAATTTTTGATGCTTCATTGAGATCTACCTCGAACTAACCTCCATGATGCCATCATCGTGTGAATACATCTGAACTGGTCAGTGTTTGTTTCTTCTCGGGAAAACTAGTCCTATGAAAATCCGCTGTTGCACATCACTTTATCACTTACATGCGACATTCACCGTTCGCTGAGTTGATTTCTTAGGGAGGCATAATGGCGTACACTGACGGTAAATTTGTTCGGGACGTAAACCAAGTCCATGGATCCATTTAGAGCACTGATTCTCAATCTGAGGATAATTATCCCCAAGGGGTAAAATGGAATATTACGCGGGGTAAATATAAGTACTAGGATTCCGTCGTCAATTTACCGCCAAACAAAATTGATAACAAAAGCATCTGTAGCAAAACGTAACTACCTAATCACTGTTGATTAACCACAAGTGAGTGCTCAATGAATTAGATAGTTTTCAATAATAAATTCTATCACCTAAATTACCAACACAAGGCTGCAAAGCAGCGTAGCTAGATGGCGCTTCTCTTGGCTCGCTCATCGATCGTTGTTCTTTGCAATCAGCTAATTCGCCGGATCACATTACAAAGCTGAGCATAAGTCAGCCGACCGGTTAAAGGAGCGACCGAATGTTTACAAGGTAGAAAGGACAAAACAGCCAGTGTTTAAGACGCATCCATACGGTGTGTTGTTGGAAAGCTGTTATCTAGGAACGAATTTGAAAGGATGGCTAAACACATGAGAAGCCACTAACATTTGTACAGGTTTGTCCAGGTATCAGACACCAAAGCAAGGAACCAAACAAACTTTAAACACGACACGATGTGCATTCGCCGAAAAGGCGCCAAATATGCCATAAATTGTTGGAACTGAGAAATATCAAACATATCATTAACATACCTCATCAGGATTTAACCAAAAGTGTTCGAAAATGGGTGTTTTATTTTTCCGAATAAAAAGTGAGTCAAAATAATATTCGCTTCCCTAATTTAAGGCAATAATTACAAAAGTTAACACGTAAAAAGCTTTTTTAAACTAGAACCTTTGGGCCAATTTTTTATAGTGGACCCATTTTGAGAGTGACAATCTCTAAAAGGTTGATAACCGTTGCTTTAGAGTAATTACTTGTTAGAAATTACAAAACCTTTACGAGTACTTTATGTCAAACACCAATCACCCTGGAATTATTTTAGGCCCATGGGAGCACATAGTGATTGAGTGCAAGAAGAGTGTGTTCTGCCCTTCCAGCTCGCTTATAAAGGAACCGGAAATGGTTTCTACCATGTCCAGAATCATCCCACGAGCGCTTGGCAGCTTTTAATTCTGCGCACTACTCTTCGCTCCAGATCCCAAGGAGGGTAAGATGAAAGCTTCCAAGGGGACTTTGTCTTTGACTTGTTTAAGGGATAATTCCACTGTCTACCTAGTTGAGCAATGGACTGTACGTGACTGTCTGCATTAGTTCTCGACAGTTCGACCCCTATTGAATTTAGGGAAGCAACTCACCCATCATTTTTCTCCTGTAAAATATATGCGTCAAAACAAGATCCAATCGAACGGCTGTGAAGTTCCAGAAGAGCATTGGACAGTCGATTTATCCTTCCGAGACACGTTGGTAGTGCATACCGTCTTATAAGTAACAGGCTCGAAGCGGTGCTATTTTGTTCTATTGACGCATGTTCTTTTGGCGACCATTTCAAGGGCACTTCTTAAAACTGAATTATTTTATTATTTATAATTTCTGCTCTTGCAACGTTATTTAACATACTAATCCACATTATTTTAAAATCCTTTTGACCAGCTCGTTTATTTTTAAAAATTAATTTTTTCTTTCTTTTATGATTACAAAGTGGATAACACGGGAAATCCGAAATTGTTGTTGTACAATATTAATTATTCATTAAAAATTACAAAATTCCGTCCTAGTTATGTTGTTATATGTTTAGACCACCGTGTCACATATGACCATTTAAAATGTATGCTAGTCATTACATCCGTTAGCTGCAACCATCTGTCCTTTTTGAAGAACGTCAGCAACAACTAATACCGTGACATGTAGCTTAGGGTAACTAAATTATTCGTAACATAATTGAAACTACGCCCGTATTTTATACATAAGCCGGTATATTATACTTATACTATTGCAATGTGAAATATTGCGGTCTGTAATAATATGCTTGTGCTTTTTAATATCAGTGTCTTTAGTAAACTTGTATGTTAACTATATTTCTATTAGTTAAATTTGTTTTCTCAACAGGAAGCTTAGATATTCTGTACAAAATCTTATCACTATGATAGAAGAAGCTGACGGTGTGCTGATAGGCAACATTTAGGTTACGCTTGCGAGTGATGGACAAAGGTCTAATGGAGATGCTATCGATGAAGTGTTTCGGGATGCTGGATCTATTGACGATTTGTCAGCAAAACAGTTACTCAGTGACGCTGAAGGTAGATTAACATTTCTTCGTAGATCAGTAATTACAATCAATACGGAGGGTGAACCATTGGAGGAAGAGCGAACAGGCTGTAATAGAGGTTTACAAGAAGAATTTGCCGCCCTATGTTCGTTTATGCAATAGCGCACAAAATGATATCAGACCTAGACTAAGGAGGAAAGAAGACTTATTTCTATGGGCACAGACGCAGAGACAATAATGTGAATGTACAGTTGATTTCTTAAGGGAAGTACGTACACCGCGTAAATCTTTCAAATCCTGCTTTGATAACTCTGTTATTAAGCACCTACTAAGGCAGACA